CCAGTGACGGCCTACCGACCAGTAGCGCAGACGTTAGTACATGCCAACCAAAGGCGGGTTCCGCTCGCCGTGTGGATGTGAATAGCAATGGTACCGCTTCTTCGGCCATTACAGGGACGACTCACATGCCGGAATATGATCGCCGTCTGCCTACACGCCAAACAACACGTTACAAATAGACATTCAATGCTGACTGGCACGCCGACTCACGCAAGCAAACATGACGTCGATTCCAGGACGGTGTTGACGCCGATAAATTCAAAGGCAAGGATCTTATATGCCTTTCGGACATGGTGGAGATTTCTCTGGTTGCGAGAGTTCGGTGTTCGAGGAGCCACGCAGCCTGCGGGGAGGTATCTTGAATAGGTGGACTGCAGCATGGGTGTATATCTCACCTGTAGTGGATGAAGACATGAGTTCTGTTGATCATTGTGTGATGGACATCAGGAAATTGGGAAGGTGCTGGTATCTTACAAATATGTATCAATATGATAGGGAGAATAAATGCTTGTATACAATTTTCATCTACTCACCAGATTACCATGAGAAAGGTTGTAGCACTGTGGTGCCGCAGGCGCCACAGTGCCTTATCTGTGTGCACAAGAGGTCATGCCGGGCTGTCCACCTGCTTAGTCATCCGTCGGGATGCCCTTCTCCAAAGATAGGGGCCGGGCCATGTGGTGGATCACATGTACAGTATGACAAGGGGCAGGAAAAGAAAGTGGAGGCAGCAGTTTCGAACTCACAACAGTTCTCATCAGGGGGCTTACAACCACTGCCCCTACCACTAGTCCATCCAGCTGATGCTTAGGGTACCAACTACCAATCTAATGCCCTATCTAGAGATTTGACTCTAGTCATAGCCACAACTGTAAGCAAGTGGCTACCCCAGGTTGGATTGGTTGCAAATTGGGTAGAACAAGTGGGGGGTGGGAGGCTCCACCTTGTTAGACCCACAGGTCGCTCGGGCACACAGGGGCCTTTTGGCACACCTGCCTGTGCTTTTCCGTTGCCATACATTCTCATGGTGGGAATCAGTCACTGTGAGAACCTCTTATGCCATCATCATGTGATTCACCGTAGTGACACAGATGCTTGACTGATCTGCTGACACTAAGAAGCTAGTTTACTGATAAGGTTATATAATATCCAGTGGACATTATGAAGGTATGTCAGCAGTTATTATCAGGTACTCAATCTGGCATTCATTGTTATCATATATTTATCATGATTGATTTTGTGGCTTTGAAAAAGCAATATGTAAAGTTGTCATGATGTCATGATGTGGTAACTTTGTTACACTTGCTGACCAAACATACTTCACAATGATATGCAATGATATTCCATGACATTTGACTAATGAAACTGACAAAGTACAGTAAATTCTGGTGTCAAATGGTAGCAAGCATAGTGCTTACCATCTAATGCCTACTGATGCTTGAGCTAGATCTAGTCCACTTTTCTGGCATATTTTGTCATGGTAGCAGCAATGTTGTTCTCTAGTCTGACACTTTAAACAGGTCACTAGGATCAGATTGTTAATTACAGAAAAGTGAAATTGCTCTGTTGCAGCAAATGATTGTCAAGCCCCTGTGCTTGAGTGGGAGTGTCAAATGGTAGCAAGTACAGTGCTTACTGTCAGATGCCTACTATGATTGAGTTAGGATCTGGTCCCAACAGACTGGTAGCTCAGTTGGAAGAGCACCACTGTACTACATACATTGGAAGCCACAGGTTCAATCCCTATCTAGTTGACTTTTCTGGCATATTTTGTCATCTGGAACCCACTTGGAGTCCATTCAGAACTCATGTGGACTGTTATCCTATCATCTCATCCTTTCCTTACTATCACTCCTGAGCCTCCAGGGGTATTTCCATTTTTATCTTACATTGCTTAACCTCACATCCATATCCATTTATGTTCCTGTTCCTAATCCTCTGTCATTATTAGTCAGTGCTTCTCTGCCCATTCCACTACATGTATATACAGTACACTATCTCATAATGCATAGTGTTGGTTCCAATTTTGGCCATGCATTATGAGATTTATGCACTACAAGATAGCATTTTCAGTGATAGAGGGCATCCTGGCCTTTTATTGGCCCATGCACTATGAGATAATACGCACTATGATTTCATGCACTATGAGATAGTGTACTGTACTTACTTTTCTTTTCAGATTCCTCAGTCATTTTTGCCCTCCTTAGGTAGCAGCTGAGTCCAGGCAACCCCTGTCCTCTTATAGTTTTTGTCAGAAACTACTTCACTCTGATGCATACCCCTGTCATGAATATCATAGAATAGTCTTGAGACTACTCAGAAGCATGGGAAATAATTTGTAAGTACTGTATAGTACATGTTATATAAACTCACCCTCTGCTGTTTTTCAGGTTTCTTCACTCTTGTCCCCTGGTTTCTTCTTCAGGGGCAGTGTTAATTCTGGTTCCTCTGGGCTGTCCAGAGTTATCAGAGATACTGTAGTGGACTTCAGATTCAACTTATATGTTGTGCCCTTGTCCAAGTTCTGTTCAGTATTTAGTGGAGGGGCAGAGTAACAGCAGAGCAGAGCAACAAAGTAACAGAGTGATGGCAGAGTGGAGGAGTGAATGTTCAGAGGGTTGGAGTGACAACAAGAAGACTAGCTTCAAGTGTTGATGTAGAACTTAGGAGGACAGGATGAGAGGAGTGATTATAGTTGATATTTGAACTGCAGAATACAGAATACAAGGAAGGTCTATATACTATGGTGACAAGTAAACATGGAGAAAACTGGAAAACTGGAGTGGGATGGAATATGGGTCAAAGTAATCAGAGAGATAGGGAAGGAGTCAGAAGGAGTCAGAGTGAGTTAAGCTGAGTCAGAATGGAATGGATCAGAAGGTGGAGTTGTTAGGTATGTCAGGTGTCTGTTGAGGGTATGGGGTATGGGGTATGGGGAACAAGGCACAGAATGGAAGTATTAGAGATAAGCAGAAAAACAGAAAAGCAGACTTGATGTAGGCAGGAAGGTGGACTTTGGCTGGAGTAGGCTCCGGAGGAGTGGAGTTGACTTGCACAACATGGGATATGACAGGCAGAGTCACTACCCAAGGTAAGTCCATCATTGGTAAGTCCAACAACTTGGGTGAATGTGATTATAAGTGTTCTTTCTCCCAAATTTTCGCTTTGTTGATTTGTTTTTCTTTCTTTATTCACTACACTGTTAGTCTACAGTGGCAATCTACATAGTCTCTGCTTCATGAATGAAAACATTGTTCACTTATGAATATTGTTCATCAACATGAACACAGGTGAAGTGAGGTTTTGATCTTCACTTTGTATTTTTTATTTTTTGAACATAGCTTTCAGAAGATATTCCTTGAGCAATGTAGTGCTGGAGGGCATAGGAATCTCACTTAACCTTGGTGGGCTGGGTTGTAGCATTGGTTTCTGGCTACCAAATGGTGCCTTGGTCATGTGATCAGGTACAGTGGCTGTGGAGATATATGTGCAGGCCACACCATGGTCCTAAAATCCTGCTCCTCTAGCCATTCCTGGACCTTCTTACAGGTATGCTTGGGGTCATTGTCCTGCTGAAAAATGTCATCAGGAGGATTGAGACTATGGTATTCAAGTGATTCTTGAAGTTCATCCTTTAAAATTTGAAGGTATAGGTCCCCATACATATCCAACACCCCTCCCAAGCCATATAGCCCCACATTATCACAAAATCTCCTTTGAACTTGGGAGTCCCCTCTACCAGCCTATCACTGAGCCCTTCCCCTGCCTTTTTCCACACCCAATTATGTCCATCTGACCCTAGGCAATTGATTTCAGTCTCATCATATCATACCACCTTCTTCCAGCCCTCTGGAGTGCAATCCTTGTGAGCATAGGCAAAGTCTAGCTGTGCCTTGCAATGCCTTGCACAGAGTATAAGGTGTTTTCACTTAACCACAGCCTTCATACCAGTTTTTTTCAAGTGCTGGTGGACAGTATTTGGGTGGAGGGGCTGATTGATGATATTGGTGAGACCTTTGGTCAGTAGAGATGAGGTGAATGGCATGGCAGATATTGGCAGGGGAAAGCTTGGATGGTTAACCTCCAGTGGATTTCTGCAGGTCAGAACACCCCTTGGCACAAATTCTAGAGATGGTGGAAACATTGAGACCAGTGGTAGATGCAATAGCATGACCAGTATGACCAGAATCAGGCATGGTGAGGATGGTGTTCTTCTGTGTGGATGAGAGAGACCACATGATGGTGGAGATAGGAAAGAAAGAAGTGTGAAATTTTTAAAACTCAGACATAATGTTTATATGTATATCTTTTCTTGTATGCCCAAACAATAGCAACTGTGCCTTCATTTAGCTAAGATCCCACTGTTCAGGCTGAAAGTACATAAACTATTGCAATGACATGTCTGTTTTGCAATGGGTATATCTCCACAGCCACTGTACCTGATCACATGGCCAAGGCACCATTTAATAGCCAGGAACCAATGCTACAGCCCAGCCCACCAAAGCTAAGCAAGATTCCCATGCCCTCCAGCACTACATTGTACCAATCAAAAAACAGCCAAACATTGCAAGGGTTTTTGGAGTCACTGTAAGTATGGAAGAATGGTCCAGGCATTAAAACACAGTCAGAGTATTTCCCACTGTAGTGATTTCAGCCATGGTATTTAGTTATCATAGAGGTTCACATGAACTACTAAGTATGACTGATAGTTTTTCATCTACACTAAAATGCCTAGTGGAGATTAAGTAGAATTACCAGAGTATGTATAATTCTGGAGCTTAATATGTACCTTATATAATGTGTAATTGGCATCAAAGAAGTATTGGAGGCATCAGATTCTACCTGAGAATCTCATTGATGGCATGGGTAAGGCTAATGTATTGTAATACACACTGCTGTGCAGATTCTTGAGCTCACAGTCATTTCTTTTCAATGATCTTTCAAGATTGGTGCACTTGCAGTGCTCAGCTTCTGAGCACAAAATATCCCCCAATGGGGTTTGTCATGCCATTGCCCTAGTGCTAAGTCTATGTGTCACGAAATGTCACATTACCTGACATTGGAGGACCCTGCATGAGCCATATCATATCTAAAGTCATCTCTTTTGCATTAGCAAACTCCTGTTGTCATAAGTGTGCACAAAAGCAACACAGCTGCTCCAATAACTCTTAGATATCTTCAGCTTCACCACATTCCAACATTGCCTCTGCATTTTCCTTGCATGATACCATTTCCTGAACCCTCGTCTTCATCTGAGTCAATCTCAATGACCTCACCCCCTTGCCACAGCCATCTCATATTGTACTGCATCTACTATCTTTTCCTCAAGAACTCACTGGGGGTTGAATGCTGTTTCATTCATGTTGAAGTTGTCTTGTGCAGCATAGCTTTTGAGAAGTTGTTGGCACTGTAGTTGTTCAGCCTCAGTGGGAAATCAGTGGTTCATATCTGGGCTTCCATTTCACATTGAGCATCTGACAAAGTGTAGTGAGCTATGGGATGCACTTCCAAAGATCTGGAAACTTGGAACACAGTCATGGAACCTCAAAACCACTTGGAACCACAGAATTCATCCAGATTTCTATCCCATCATCCACCAAGCCCTACCATCACTTACAAGCTGCTGAGAGTATTTCTATCCTTATCTTACATTGCTTAAATTCCTATTGCACGTCCTTTAGATTTCTCAATTTATTCCTGATATCCTGTCATTCTTAGAAAGCACTTCTCTGCCCATTATATATACTTCTTTCTATTTTCAGATTCCTCAGTTGTTCTTTGCCCTCCTTAGGCAGCAACTGAGTCTGGGAAATCCCCACCCTCTTATAGTTTTTGTCAGCATCCTGATGTGTTGGCAAAGTTTTCACAGATGTGGGAACTGGGAATTAGTAGGTTTTGTATTCACAGGTGTGGTTTACTTTACCTTGCCCACCATGGCAACTCTATCATAATGGACAAAAATCAATGCAAGATGATGGAAATGCATTACTAACTTATGCATTATGAGCATATGAATTGTACTTCATAACCTGAAGCAGACTGACTCAGCCTCTCCAACAGTGCTGGGAAGGAACCTGGGCCATTCCTGGCATTTGCCACACTGTTCTCCAAAGCCTGATTGTTCACAGTCCTCATTCAAGTTGTTTCAAAGCTTCAACAAGCTTTCTGTTTGTAGCACTGCTACTTGTCACATCATCATCCTCTTCATCACCTCACCTCTTCTTATCCTTGTTATCTTTCAACTATCCCTTCAAACTTGTATGTATCTTGCTTGCACAGCTAGTGTAAATACCACAGTGTTCAATCTGGTTCCTCTGGTCTGTCTGGGACTCACAGGGGTCTCAGAATGGACTTGGCTTCACTTTACATATGTGTTGCACCCTTGCCTGAGTTCAGTCCAAGGATTCAGTGGAGGAGCAGAGTTTGGGTGGAGAATTGAGGGGGGCAACAGGAGGGAAGATAAGTCAGTGTGTCAGAGTGACAACAAGGAGACTAGCTTCAAGTTATCTGGCAGAAGCCTTAGGACAAGGAGAACTTATATGCTATGGTGGCAAGTAAACATGAAAGGTACCAGAGTATAAGAGTAGAACAGAATGAGTCAAATTGAGTCAGAATAAGATGGAAATAATCAGGGCGAGATTAGTGTTGCTGCAGCTTCAAGCTGCCATTTTTTTTTATCTCATCCATTTCACAACAGATCTTTATGCATGTAGAGAAGGAAATGCAATT